TAGGTATACATATGTCCCCTTACTCTTGAACCTCCCTCCCACATCCCACCTCATCCCATCCCTCTTGATTGTCACAGAGCACCAAGTTGAGCTCCCTGCTTCATACAGAAAATTGCCACTGGTTATCTATTTTATATATGGTAATGTACATGTTTCAATTCTACTTTCTCAATTTGTCCCACACTCTCCTTCCGCCATTGGATCCACAAATCTGTTCCCAACGTCTGCATCTCTACTGCTGCTCTGCAAATAGCTTCATCAGTACCATCTTTCTAGATTCCATGTATACACAATAATATACAGTATTTGTTTTTCTATTTTGACTTACTTAGCTCTGTATAACAGGCTCTAGGTTCATCCACCTCACTAGAACTGACTCAAATGCATTCCTTTTTAAGGCTGAATAATATTCCATTGTATATAAGTACCACAAAGAAGTATTTTAAATTTTATGTCAAAACAGTTCTGCCACGTGCTCAATGAAAAAAACTATGATGCAAGAATATTGTACCCAGCACAACTGTTTATGTAAAAAATACAATAAAGGTATCATTTGACTATTGATGATTTGCATTTCCACTTTGAAAAATGTCTATTCTGTTCTGCCTATTTTAGAGTTGTTTTATTTTTTGATGTTGACTTGTATGATCTGTTTATACATGTTGGATATTAATCTCTTATCAGACATATCATTTGCAACCATTGTCTTCTATCTAGTAGGCTGCCTTTTTGTTTTGTCAGTGATAAGTAGCTTAACATTGCTAATCATCAAGAGAATGCAAATAAAAACCATAAGATATCACCTCAAACCAATTAGAATGGTTATCATAAAAAAGAACACAAGTAATAAATATTGGTAAGGATGTGGAGGAAATGAAACCCTCGTATGCTGTTGCTGGGAACATAATTTTTGTTCAGCCACTGTGGGAAACAGAGTTTTTCCAAAAAAATTAAAAATAAAATTCCCAATGACCCTGAAATTCCATTCATGAGTGTATATATATATATATATGTATATATATACATATACATATACATGTGTACATATATATATATATACACATTCAAGAAACTGCATGCACCCCAATGTTCATAACAGCATTATTTACAGTTGCCAAGATAAGGAAGCAACCTGTGTCCATCAACAGATGAATGGATAAAGTAGTGGTACATATAGATATATACAATGAATACTACTCAGCCATAAAAGAATAAAATTTTGCCATTTCCAGAAACATGGGTGGACTTGGAGTGCATTATGTTGAGTGGAATGTTAGATAAACACAAATATTATATGATATCACTTATACGTAAAATCAAAAGTATACTGGAAACTAGTGAATATAAAAACAAACAAACAAAAGGAGCAGAGAACATATTAGTGGTTTTCAGCGGTGAGTGGGGAGGGACAGTAAAAGGATGTGAGAGTGAGTGGTACAAATAATGGTACAAGATAGGCTACAAGTATGTATTGTATGACACAAAGAATACAGTTATATTTTGTAATAACTGTAAATGGAGTATAACCTTTAAAATGTATAAAAATTTCAAAATATACAAAGAAGACATTCTAGATCAATAAACATTGAGATAATTTAAAACTAGAAGACCTATCTAAAAGAAATACTAAAAAACGCTCTTTAGTCTAAAGACATACGATACTTCAGGCTTTTGGCTCAAGATGGTGGAGTAGAAGGATGTGCGCTCATCTCCTTCTGCAAGAACACCAAAACTGCAACTAGAAGTTGAATAGCCATCAACAGAAGGATGTTGGAACCCACCAAAAAAAAGATATTCCACATCCAAAGACAAAGAAGAAGCTGTAGAGAGATGGTAGTTCCTTTCAGTCGCTCAGTCGTGTCTGACTCTTTGCGACCCCATGGACTGCAACATGCCAAGCTTCTCTGTCCATCACCAATTCCTGGAATTTGCTCAAACACATGTCCATCAAGTGGGTGATGCCATCCAACCATCTCATCCTCTGTTATCCCCTTCTCCTGCCTTCAATCTTTCCCAGCAACAGGGTGTTTTCCAATGAGTCATTTCTTTGCATCAGGTGGCCAAAGTATTGGAGTTTCAGCTTCAACAGCAGTCCTTCCAATGAATAGTCAGGACTGATTTCCTTTAGGATCTACTGGTTTGATCTCCTTGCAGTCCAAGGGACTCTCAAGGGTCTTCTCTAGCACCACAATTCAAAAGCATCAATTCTTCAGTGCTCAGCTTTCTTTATGGTCCAGCTCTCACATCCATACATGACTACTGCAAAAACCATAGCTTTGATTCTAGATGGACCTTTGTTGGCAAAGTAATGTCTCTGCTTTATAATATGCTGTCTAGGTTTGTCATAGCTTTTCTTCCAAGGAGCAAGTGTCTTTTAATTTCATGACTGCAGCCACCATCTGTAGTGATTTTGGAGCCCAAGAAAATAAAGTCTGTCACTGGTTTCATTGTTTCTCTATCTATTTGCCATGAAGTGATGGGGCCGGATGCCATGATCTTTGTTTCTGAATGTTGAGTTTTAAGCCAGCCTTTTCACTCTCCTCTTTCACTTTCATTAAAGGCTCTTCAGTTCCTCTTTGCTTTCTGTCGTAAGGGTGGTGTCATCTGCATATCTGAGGTTATGGATATTTCTCCTGGCAATCTTGATTCCAACTGTGCTTAATCCAGCCCAGCATTTTGCATGATGTACTCTTTATAGAAGTTAAATAAACAGAGAGACAATATACAGCCTTGGCTTACTCCTTTCCCAATTTGGAACCAGTCCATTGTTTCATGTCTGGTTCTAACTGTTGCTTCTTGACCCGCATTTCTCAGGAGGCAGTAAGGTGGTCTGGTATTCCATCTCTTGAAGAATTTTCCACAGTTTGTTGTGATGCACACAGTCAAAGGCTTTGGCATAGTTAATAAAGCTGAAATAGATGTTTTTCTGGAACTGTCTTATTTTTTCTATGATCCGATGGATGTTGGCAATTTGATCTCTGGTTCCTCTGCCCTTTCTAAATCCAGCTTGAACTGGTGGGACTATAAATGGCTGCATCTACTATGTAAAGCAGTCTGGATTTTTCATTCACAACTAAAAATAGAGCTATCATATGATCTGAGTTTATATCTGGTAAAAATGACAATTCTAATTTGAAAAGACACAGGCACTCCAATATTCATAGCAGCACTATTTACAAATGCCAAGATATGAAAATAACCAAAATGCCCATCAACAGGTGATTGGCTTAAGAAGTTGTGTTATACATATGCAATGAAATATTGCTGAGCTATCAAAAACATAATAAAATGTTGCCAATTGCAGAAACATGGATGGACCTAGAGAATATTATACTTAGTGAAGTATATCAGACAGAGAAAGACAAATACTCTATGATATCACTTATGTGTGGAATCTAAAAAATAATACAAATGAATCTATATGCAGAACAGAAACAGACTCGTGAAGGTAGAAAACAAGCTTAGATTTTGGTGATGTATTTCAGTCACAAAGTTTTATTATGATTCATATGGCCTGATATCAAGGACCATTTTCATAGACATAGAAAACTAAATAAAATCGTTTCTGCATCTAGAAAATCTTGTCTTGGGCCTTATTACTGGGACTCACAATTCTAACCAGACTTTATCCTCTTTTGTCAAGTGAAATGTGGAATTGCCTCAAATGGCACAATGTTAGAGACAGCTTTGCCTGCATGCTCTTTACAGCCCATGTTCTCAGTAGCAGCTGGACAGCTTTCCTGCTTGTAGTCTATGTTCTAAGCAATAGAGGCATCATCCACTCTTATTTTAGTTAGCAATCTGGGTTTGCATGTGTTTCCACATGCAGTCATGGATATCCTCTTGGGAGTTCAATGCAACATCTTGCTAATATGTATATAATCAACTCTGAAATGTTACTAACCTTTATTGGTTACTTCAGCCTCATTCTTAGTTCAATGTATTTCTTTTTTTTTCAATGTGTTTCATTTTTTGATGAACCTTACAGTTGCTTTACATAAGTTTCTTCAAAATTACTCCAATTATTTTTTAACTCTGTTCATCAAAGTTGACTTATTTACACATTTTTTATGGATAAATGACAGTGCCTTATAAGAGCATAAAAGTATCCCATAAGGAAAAAAACAGGTATGAATATGGACTGATTTCAGAGTCTGGGAAATATTTGGCATAGGCAGAGGGTACCTCCCCTAAATAGCTGATAGGTAGGTGTAGCCTTCTGAGACTCTTGTTTCTACTTTTTATCTTGAGTTACAAAAACACTCACTGAATGAAGAATCCAAAGCTTGTCCAAGAAAAGCTTCTAGCCAAGATAGGCAGAGAGAATAGAGAAAACATATTGAGTTTTCTAGGGTATTTAGGGCTTCCTTGGTGGCTGAGATGGTGAAGAATCTGCTTGCAATGTGGGAGACCCAGGTTCAATCCCTGGGTCAGGAAGATCCCCTGGAGAAGGGAATATCTAGCCACTCCAGTATTCTTGCCTGGAGAGTTCCATGGACAGAGGCTACAGTCTATAGGGTCACAAAGAGTCAGGTATTTAAGAGAAAAACAAATTATATTTTTATTGTCCATGATAAAATCAATTCTTTTTTTACATTATCAGTCACATATGTCTTTCACAGGAACTTTGTACTTCTAACAATGGAAATTAACAAGACTTGAATTACCAATAATACCAGATAAAGCTGAGCCTCAAGGACACTTAAAAATGTCTAAATATTTCATGTTTAAGAAGAGAAGATTGGAAATTTGCCTGTGCTTACAAACTGATTTGATTAATAGCAATTGGATTGATCTATTTTGATAACAAGTTATTACAAACTGATTGAGAAGAAGCTCCTTATGTATTATTTATTGTTGAATTAATATTGTCAATTGAATTCAACAGTATGGTTTGTGTATGGGGCTACAGCAAAGTTCCTCATGCTTGAAAATGCCACTGAGATGCTCTTGATGTCTTTGTTCTTGACCCTCTAGATAACTGTTTTCCACCTTGATATTTATGTGGTCCATTTAAAGACTGGATGCTTCCTCAGGACATTCTGAAAAGCCCCCAAAACATCTTTGTTTCTCAAGCTATAGATGAATGGATTGAGCATGGGTGTGAGCACAGTGCAAAATACAGACACAGCCTGCTCCTGATCAGGGGTATGAGAAGAACCAGGTGTCATGTACATATAAACACATGGTCCTAGATAAAAGCTTACCACTGTAAGATGGGAGAAGCAGATGGCCAAAGCTTTGCTCCTGCCTTGGGGGGATTTCATATGAAGGACTGTGTGGAAGATGAGCATGTAGGAAGCCATAATAAATCCAAAAGGGATGATGATGAAACAAATGCCCATCACAAAGACCACTACTTCATAGATAGAAGTGTCTTTGCATGAGATCTTCATGATTGCTGGCATCTCACAGAAGAAATGTTGGATTTCTCTGGAGCCACAGATAGGCAGGCTCATAGTATAGAATGTGTGGGCTGTGGAAGCTAAAACTCCCCCAGTCCAAGACACTATGACCATTTGCAGACAGACGCCATGGTTTATAATGACTGCATATCTCAAGGGGTTACAGACAGCTACATATCGGTCATAGGCCATGAGAGTCAAGAGGATACATTCAGCACCCCCAAGAGTAAAAAAGAAAAATACCTGGGTTCCACAGGCTGCCCGAGTGATGTCTTTCCTTCCAGAGAAAAAGTTTACCATCATCTTTGGGACAGTGCTGCTAATGAGGGCCAGGTCTATGAGAGAAAGCTGGCTAAGCAGAAAGTACATCGGAGTGTGGAGACTCAAGTCCATCCATATCAGGAGGAGCAGGAAGAAGTTTCCAGTTACTGCAGCAAGATAAATTAAGATGATAATGTAGATAAGAATACTGACATAGTTCATATTGGGGAAGAGTCCTGAGAGAACAAAATCTGTTGTTAATGTCTCATTTTCTTCTTCCATGGTTGACTGCTCTGGTTGAGCTATAAGAAGAAGGAAAGGGAACAAAAGTAAAATAAAAGCTTTTGAAAGTATTTTTATTTGTCAGGTATTGCTGTAATAATGTGAGGTAAAAAGTAACTCCACAATTTTCAGTGGCTTATGACAGTAAACATATTTTATTGCTCCCACGTTTGTGTCAGGTGGAGGCATTTTGCTTTAGGATGCCCGCCAAGTACAGATATACTCCACCATAAGTCTCTCACTATGGGGCTTGCTCTTCTCAAAGAAGATGGCAGGAGCCAAAAACAGACAAGCAAAATTACCTGATTTCCCCTAAGTGAGTGAAGTCACTCAGTCGTGTCCGACTCTCCGCAACTACCAGGCTCGTCCGTCCATGGGACTTTTCAGGCAAGAGTACTGGAGTGGGTTGCCATTTCCTTCTCCAGGAGATCCTCCTGACCCAGGGATCAAACCTGGTGACTCGGGTCTCCCGAGTTGCAGGCAGATGCTTTACCCTCTAAGCCACCAGAGATTTCCCCTAAGGGCTGAACTTAAAGCTGACTCTATTACTTTCTACCACATTCCACTGACTAAAGTAAGTCACAAGTAGAAACCCAACATCAATATGATGGGGAAGTAAGCTCCACCCACAGCAAACTCTAAACTGTTAAGACATGAAGAGAGAATTAGAAGCAATTAATATGATCTATTACATTTCTCAGAGTTCCTACCTCTACCATTCTCAATTTTATGATCTTAATGCTGGGTATTCAGATATTTCATTATTTCTTAGTATCCTGTTTAATGTGTTCTACTAAGACTCAGTGATAAAGATCTATGGGTTTCCTATGATCACAAACTATTTTCACCATAAAGAATGTCTTGAGGTCATATGTAGCAACTTCTTATATTCATGACTAGACATGCAACAGGTAAATACATAATTTTTTTCTTAGTTCTCCTCTACCTGTGGATCTAGTTACATATATTTATGGAAGAAACTATAGATAAATGAGAAATAGAGTACGGCAAAATGAAACTGTTGTCTTGCACTTGAATCTAGGGGGTCATTTTCTAAAACAATATATATTAGCCAAGGAATCAACCAATATAGTCAAAGCTGTGTTCTCATTTAGATTTTTTTTCATAGAAACTTATATAAACCACATCTAGATAAATTCAGAAATAATAATGAAATTAGATTTCATAAACTCTAAATGAGAAATAAGATTGTGCCTACATTCAAAAGGGAGGATGTTCCTCCCTACAAGTTTATTGAAATAGAAATGGTGAATTTGTTTTTTCTAAGTAGCTTGAAACAGGCTAGAAGCAACTAAGCATGAATTTTAACTTTTATGTCCATATCACTAGTTACTCAGGTTGTATGTAGGCAGTAAGAAAACTTCAATCTACAAGGGACAAACTTCAAAGGGAAAGCTCTGATTGGGATATGAAAAGCTCTAAGATTTCCCACTTTCCCAACCAATACCACCAAGTGGTACCTCCTGGTGGCAACAGTGATTATGTGTAAATTTCATTTTAATTTTACCTCTGAAAATGAAGGTAACACTGACAATTTACTCTTAATGTTGCTTCATTGATGTTTACTAGATTTACTTACTTCAGGGGCCCAATAATTGCATTTTCCCATCAGCTAACTACTAAATTTCTAGACAGAAGTTATGGAAAACTCTTAGGAACAGTGAGACATGGAGGTGAAAGCTGAAGAAAAACCAGATGCAAGAGGTGATTTAATTTAATAAAAATGTTCCTAATGTTTGTTCCCTATCCTTAAAGTTGCACCCAGTTAATTGAACAAAATATTCCCCTCAGGTTGTTCAAGATGCTACAAAGGACTCTATTAAGTGGAAATACTAAACTGAAGAGAGGCAAAACAGTAGGTAGAATTATTGGAAGCCAGGCCAGTCTCTTCATTTTACCTGCACTTATGTACCTACACACACTGGATTTTCCTCAACACATGCTTCCCCCAAAGAAGTGATATTCCTGGTTACTTCCTGAAGAAGGCTTGTTGTAGGAGACTGGAGCATTTTGTTTTCCATGTACAAGCAACATTTCTGAGATCATATAGACAATTACACATACATTTGATAAAAGTAAGTACTCCAGAGGATCCTTGAGACAAATAGGAAACCACAGAGGAAGTGAGTCCCTAGATACCCATTAAATGATTTGTTTTTCTCTATTGCCTTGCATTTTGCTTAAAACAAGACTCTATGTGGGAGGGTTGGCAGGGATGAATTACTTTGTTTATCTGGTATTTTATTATCCTGGGTTGCTTAAATATGTCCCACATTTTGGTTTCTTATGGAGCCTCATTTATTTGGGTGATTTTCTGACTCATCAACAAGGAATTATATTCTGTTAAATCTTTATTGAATTGACCTGAACATAGTAAATTTTACTTTTTCCAGTAGCAGCCACATATAGAAGGGATATTTCTCTCTTGCAGATTCAAAAGGCATTGTCCCTCAGGACAAACATAGCTATTCATCATCATGAAAACTGGCCATCTTGGTTTTCAAATAATTTCTTTCCTAATGGTTTTCCACAAGTGAAATTTAAGTATATTAAAAGAAATAAAGTTTTTTTTTTTTTTTTTTTTTTAATATTCACTTGCAAGACTAGGGAATTGCCTGGTGACCCAGTGGCTAAGACTCCATGCTCCCAATGCAGGGGGCTCAGGTTCAATCCTTTTTCAGGGAACTAGATCCCACATGTCACAACAAAGAGTTCACATGCTGCAACTAAAGATCAAAGGTCCTGCATGCTGCAACTAAGACCCAATCCAAACAAATAAATAAATAAATAAATAATTTGAAAATACACAGTTATATAGAACAACAACAACAAAAATCTCAAAATTTGTATGCAGACACAAAAGACCCTGAGTGGCCAAAGCAATCTTGAGAGAGAAAAACAGAGCTGGAGGAATCAGGCTCACTGATTTCCAACAAGACTACAAAGCTACAGTCATCAAAACAGTATGGTGCTGGCACAAAAATAGAAATATAGATCAATGGAACATAACAGAAAACCCATAAGTAAACCTATGAACCTATGGTCAGTTAATCTATGACAAAGAGTACACAAGACAAGACTACACAATGCTGGAAACATAGTCCCTTCAACAAATGGTGCTGGGAAAACAGGACACTTTTACATGTAAAAAAATGGAATCAGGTCATTCTTTAACATCATACACAAAAATAAGCTCATAATGGATTAAAGGCCTAAATACAAGGCCAAACACTATAAAACTTCTAGAGGAAAACATCAGCAGAACACTCTCTGACAAATCACAGCAATATCTTTTTCAATCTGTCTTCCAGAATAATGGAAATAAAACCAAAAATAAGCAAATGGGGCCTACTTAAATTCAACAGTTTTTGCACAGCAAAGGAAACAATTAACAAAATGAAAAGACAACCCACAGATTGGGAGAAAATACGTGCAAATGATGTGACTAACAAGGAATTACTCTCCAAAATTTACAAACCGCTCATGATACTTAACAGCATACAAACAAACAACCCAATCAAAAAATGGGCAGGGGGCAGAGTCAAGATGGCAATGAAGGAAGACACAGAGTCTGTGTCTCCTCAGGCCCAGGATACTCACCAGGTGCTGGTGGGGGACCTCTGGCAGACAGGCTGCAGGAGAAGCCTTGAGAGCAACCTGGTACTGGGTAGGGGAAAGTGGGGGAGGTTGAAGTTGGGGGACCAGCGGCTGAGGGGCTGCTGGGGGAAGGGGAGAGATTTGGGCTCAACAAACAGTTCGGGTGCAGGAGTGGTTTTGGTTCCCTGGGCGCCAGTAGAAACACGTCTGCACAGCCAAAAGAGGGAGGAATCTCCTGGGATTGGAGGGTCCACTGAGGGAAGCCTCTGGGGCTCTCCATCACTCAGCCAGGTTGACTGAGGGGCTGCTGGGGGAGCGGGAAGTCATTTGGGTGTCTTTGGGTGCTAGGAGCAACATGATTGCTTGGCCAAGAGAGACCCCTGAAGGGATCAGAGGATCCATTGAGGAATCCCTTGCGGTTCCCATTTTACTTAGCCCCAGGGAGCCTTCTGGGTTCCCCTGGGCCTCTGCCTTCTGAAGACCCATCTGCCCTCCTAGGCCCTCTGTACCCTCCAGTTGAGCCCTCACTTCTTTGGGGCACTCTCTACTTTTCAGGGGCTCCTCTACCTGTGTGGGTCCCATGGACATGAGAAGGAGTGGGGAGGTTCCTGTGGAGAGAGGAAAAGGTGGGCCAGCTAGGGGGAGATCTTGTGGGATTCCAGGAACAAGGAACTGACTGGTCTTCCCCTACCCACTCAGCCTTGGGGAGCCTCCTAAGGTCCCCAGGCCACCTTCTCCACCCTCTGGAGGCAACTCTATCCTCTAGGGCCCCCCTGTACCCTCGGCTGCCCTTTGTCTTCTAGTTTCCAACTCCCTCTGGGACCCCCATCCTCTTTCTAGGGACACCCATCTGGCCTCTGGACTGGGCACTCTGCCTTCCAAGTTTCTCCTCTGCCCTCCAGGGCCCTCTTCTCCCTTTGAGGCCCTCTTCCTCCCTCCAGGCAGATCCCACTGCTATCCAGGAGTCTCCCTCCATCCTCCAGGGTCACCCTCTGTTCTCTGGTTTCCTCCTTCCTCTAGGGTTCTATTCTCTGTGGACCCCTTCAATCCTGCAAACTCCACTGCTGGAAACCTCAGGCCAAACAACTAATGAGACAGGAGCAGAGTCCCACTCATCAAAAAAAGAAAGAAAGAAATGATAAAAAATACATTACAGATGAAGAATCAAGGTGAAAAACTACAAGACCAAATAAATGAAAAGGGAATAGGCAATCTATCTGAGAAAGAAATTAGAGTAATGATAGTAAAGATGTTTAAAAATATTGAAAATAGAATAGAGAAAATGCTGGAAATATTTAACACATTTAACAAAGACATAAAAGAAATAAAAAAAAAGCAAACGGTGATGAACAACACAGTCACTGAAATTAAAAATACTCTAG